AAAGAACAAAAGAAAACTTCACAGGCTGTGCACTTACCAAAGCCTGGGCACTATGGTAAAGACCTAGAGAACAGTACAACCCTAGTTGCAGTCACAGAGTCATTTTGAAACTTGCTTATGACGTCAGCTTCAAACCACTGAACAAGCTTTTCTGGAAGTAGCTTTTCCAGGATCAGCTGGCAAGTGTAATTTACCATTATAGGTTTTACTGTATGGAAACTGGGGAGTGAACTATTGTCCACACCTGGGGAAAGCTGTGCATTTTAAGGAGAAATGACACATTCTTTCCTTGCAATTGAAAGTCATCAGTAGTAAATGCCTTCTGAATACTTTGAAACATTTGAGAAGTACAATAGAGATTAAGTATCTGGACCGTAGGGCTGGATTTACCTGGACTCTCATATCTTCTTATTAATCAAGGACAGAAAGTTAAGTTACTTATCTTCCCTGTACCTCAGTTTCTTCACCTGTGCAGTTTAGTTAATATAAGATGGACCTATATTAAGATTATGGTGAAGTTGGAATTAATTTATGATGTCGAGAATATACAGGAATGTTTGTGGTATAAGAACTGGATATCACTCGTACTGCTCTCAAGCACTATTTTCATATTTTTTGTTTCTTTTCCTTTTTAAAGATTTATTTATTATGTATATAGTGTTCTACCTGTATGTTTGCCTGCAGGCCAGAAGAGGGCACCAGATCTCATTACAGATAGTTGTAAACCACCATGTGGTTGCTGGGAATTGAACTCAGGACCTCTAGGATGAGCTGCCAGTGCTCTTAACTGCTGAGTCATCTCTCCAGCACCCTACTTTTTTGTTTCTAATGGCCAGCTTTTGGAATGAATTATATCCTCAGTCTATAGATACCACAGATAGATGATAGGAACTTAGTTGGAGCACAGAGTTGTGCCCTACACTCCCAAATCACACTCCTTCCACTAATTATGATTGCATTCCAAAAGGTAATATCTAAAATGAGAATGTTTTGTTTATTTTTGATTTCAGGAAACGATTTCTAACAATTGTGTGGTGATTTTCTCAAAAACATCCTGTTCTTACTGTTCAATGGCCAAAAAGCTTTTCCATGACATGAATGTCAACTATAAAGTTGTGGAATTGGATATGATGGAATATGGCAGCCAGTTTCAGGATGCTCTTCATAAGATGACTGGAGGAAGAACTGTGAGTGTACCCCTCAGCCCTGCTGCCCCTGGTGATGAGCTGGTGACATGCCAGGCCCCGGACACTAGACTTCCCTGCTAGAAAGATCAAACCTGGCTTTTCTATGGATCTCACGTCGATAAAGACATGGCGGATCTACAAAGAAACCGGGCTCATAGAATAGGAAACTGCATAGTTCATTTTAATAGTTATGTTTG